ATTCAAGTGCAGCGAGGAAGTCGATAGGATTGGAGTCCTTAACATTGGAACGCATACCTCGGACAATGGCTGCATTTTCCGCGTCCGTTAATCCTCTTTTGGATACGTTTGCAATCCAAGCATCGTCTACCTTAGGCGGTTTCTTTTGAGAGATCGAATTCAGCTTCTCTTCAAGCCTCCGTTCGGTGTTTAACTTTGTGTTGTATGGTTTGACGGCTATCACTTTTTCCAATTCTTCAGTCAGTTGTGATCCTAGTCTGGATAAGCAAATTGCTTTCTGTTCCTTAATCACCATTTGGTATTTATGCGTTCGATTGTGTGCATCTGTAATCAACAGGCGCAACATTCTTCTCCCATGTTGTTGCGTTATGTTCTAAGCCAAAGGATGGTTGATCGGAGGACGGTAGTGCAGACTCGGCGGCAAAACCTGCCTTCGCAAGCATTCCTGGAGGAAATAGAGCTGCTCGTCAGTAGATGATTGCCGACTGTCAAATGTCTCCTATCGGGGAGCAGATTTTAGCGCGTCGCGCCCAAATTGATTTGAAATACATGAGAACATACGTAACTGGGGGTGTGGATGCGAATTTTGAGCTGTTCTCCGAGCTGACTGGTTATTGTGCAGACGCTTCGTTGCCTGACTATACAACATCATCAGTGCGACTTCCGGGGCCTGGTTCGCAGTGCCTCGTAGGCGACTTCACTGTTCAAGTGCTTATTGATCGAGTACTGTTTTGAATGCCAGGCTTCAGTGAACACACGTGCTTGCCGGCTTTTAGTCCTTTCGAGGATATTGACATGCTCTAGGTCTAATTGATGATTCTCGGCATCCATATGCACTGACATCAGGGAGTCCTGATCGTGGCAACGAATGGCTAAGCTGTGTTCGTGTAGCCTTGTGCTGAACGATCTGAAACAACATTCTACCAAAAATCTCTGCATAGCGACCAGATCATCAGCTACGGCGGCAATTATCCGGCAGCCCACAAACGCAGCTGCGTGCAAACCCTTCCCAAATAAGCACAGACCCATTGTAGCACACCGCAACTGAGACGGGCATAAGAAGACCATCTCTTCCACATGCTCAATCGGAATTCGTACCCAAAAGGTTTCATTCTACGCTGCCTCGCACCACATAAGTTTGCTCGACACACCTGTACAAATGCAACAGCTGAAAAGAGAATAACACTGCCCTATATCAACGGAGTCTCTGTAATGGCATCGAGGCTTTTATTGCCTTTTGGAGTCAAAGTTGCACACCAGCTGACGGAAACAATTCGCAGTAAACTCTTCAAAGTGAAAGATAAACTTAGCAAAGAAGAAGAAACTGGTGTGATGTATAAGATCTGCTGCCGGAACTGCGACAAATACTACGTGCGACAGACTGGAAGGAAGTTTGGCACAAGGCTACACGAACACAGCCTAGCCATTCGTCGCCACGATCAGAACTCCCTGATGTCAGTGCATATGGATGCCGAGAACCATCAATTCGACTTAGAGCATGCCAGTATCCTCGAAAGGGCTAAAAGCCGGAAAGCACGTGAGTTCATTGAAGCCTGGCATTCAAAACAGAACTCGATCAATAAGCGCTTGGACATTGAAGTCGCCTACGAGGCACTGCGAACCAGGCCCCTGAAGCTGCACTGGTGATGTTGGCTAGTCAGACAATGGAACGTCTGCACAATAATCAGTCAGCTCGGAGAACAGGTCAAAATCCGGACCAACTTTCATTCGTCCTCATTTACTTTGCTATTCTGGCCGTACGGTAGCGAAGTGCCAATTGCTGATGCACAGTTGCTGTTGATGATGCACGATGGATCTGACACACAACCGGTTAGAGGTACCAATAAACAGCTATGGAAATGCGAGTATCTGTTCGCTGAACATGGTAATTGTATCACATGACAAGTCACGTATGATCGAAGCAATACAGGTGCTCAATCAGCTAGGAAGATAGCTGGATTTCGAACTATATGCCAAAAGTAGGGCGTATGGTACTGCGAAATGCCCGGCTCCATGGACAAGAAACATGACCGCAGTGATCAAGAACTTATGAACGACAATCTTTGAACCTCAGTACCTGTCACTACTGATCGTAACTGGTGAGAGTACAGAATGTGAAGTGCTGACATCCACCAGTATGTGCCGAGAAAGAAGCCCTCTAGCTCCTCACCGGAATGTCCACCAAAGTTGAATCAGTTATGATGGCTTAGTCATGTATATGCGTTGGCCGACTTCCACAACATAGCAAACTATTGCGTTGCTTGGAAAATTCCTCGGTTGTAATCCGGATTGCACTTTTCATTTCATTCAACGATCTTCCCTCCTGACTGCGAAGACCGCTAGTGCACTGAACAATATCCTAAAATTATCCGAACATATTGTTTAACCTAGGTACCTACTTATCGTGCGCTTGCATTGTTAACTGTTCAGCTCTTCATACGTCAACAACTTTGTCCAGAGGTTCACTACTTGCCTGTACTTACATTCCCTCCATATCCCTGACGATACGTAGCCTCATTTCAACCTAGTTCGATTGCAACAGAAGTCTCATGCATCTGATACGATGCCGTTGTAACACTGTTACCACATTCTCTGAGCGATGCACAGATCATCCATTTGACCAAAACTATAACTTTTCTCAGCCAAATGCATCCATAACGCTTGTAAATTTCTTCTTACAGAAACCATGTCTCCATATATCTCTCAAGAGATTTTAATGCTACGAAGTTGCAGCTAACTGGCGATAGCCCCTCTGTTAATCGAGTGACTACTCTCAAACCAACCGACAGCACATCCCTTTGCGTACTCATCTGTTATACTATGGATTGAGTTGGGATTAATCACGCAACCAACAGTAAGCATTTTTAAGAGCGTTTGCGCCCGTTTGAAACAATCAGATGGAGTTAAAGGCCATGTTGAGAGATTTAAAGACGAACATGACTTCCTCAAGGAGGAATATGAACGCGTTCTTGATGTAATTAGCTGAGAAAAGGTATTGTCATGTATGTGTGCTTCATGTTCGGTCCTAGCACATCCAACACTGTGATTGGACCGTCAATGATTGGCCACTGTGAATTTAAGCCTCACACACTTGTGTGTTCACTTGTTCGCTAGCTATCTGCTTTGAACGGAGCTTACAACAGAGTTTTTCTTTCCCATCCGTTAATTGCATCCTGTTGTTGACAATGATACACCGGGATCCTGACCTAATGAGATTTACCTGTCCTTAATCATATATACGGTAATAGTACCTTGAGTATTGCGATCCAAACTGGTTCCGATTTCAGGATCGCTGCCTACGCGTCACTCAACATCTGAGTTGCGAGTGGATGTTTGTTAGCTGTACTTGCAGAGCTCGATGCGGGTGTGCGCCAACCATTTGCTGCTCGGCTGGCCAATCAGCTTCCGATGATATGACCATTTTCCATCGGGCTGGATTGCATCTGTCTGGTACTCCGCGAAAGACCGGATGGCGTTCGATTGTTCATCTGCCTACCGGTACAGTAGTATTTCCACTCACCAGCAGTTTCAGCTCTCATCACATCCTTTCCCTTTTTAAAATGGCGTTGCATTGTTCCGTATTACCTTTAGCTGCGTGTGCGTTTAATGTCTTGGACTTGGATAGCAGGACTCCTCTCCGGTTGTAGTTGCTGATCTGCTCTTCGCGATGTCCACTCATGACGTGCTCTTCTCAGTGGCAACAGATTCCATCGAATGATGTTTCCCCCAACCTTGGCTTCATAGCTCCTATCACGCTTCTGAACCAGACAGCCTCAAGCTATAGCGCCTGGAGACGAAGTGTGGTTTAAACAGATAGCTAGAGTTGAGAGGCGTCAGAGGAGAAGAGCAGCTGAAAGTCTGAAAAGAAAGGGGAGCTATCGAATGCGGCTGAAAAGGCGATGTGGTGGACAGGCTCTGCAGTCTGAAGAGAGGCCGCCTCAGCAAAATAAGCCAACTAAAATCGCAGCCCAAGTCCGAAAGCTCTCCTGCAGTAGAAGACAATACGGAACCTGCAACAGCAAAACAACGAAAACACAGGAAAAAAGGAAGGATGTGGGGGTAAGTTGCAACCTTAATCATGCTAGTTGCCTATCGAACGGATGAGCTGAGTGGATTTGGGCCGACCGTCTGACAGGTGATCGGTCGCCGCCAGTCAAGCAACAACACACACGCATATGAGCAAGAAGCGCCTCGTAAGTCCGCACGGCCAATTGACCCGATCGGTGGATGTGCTAAGTTTCAGCCTGCAGCAGCCCAACAAGGAAGGACGAATCGGAAGCACGCACCGGTGTGCAGTTTGCCCTATAAATAATGTGTTACTTTCTGAACAAATAGATTACTGATCGAAGCCCGGATTTTGGTTTCTGATACATAGAGGGCACACGACAAGCGGGAGAACACGTGTTGCAATCCATTCACACACACAATGTGTGCTCCAATCAGTCATAAACAGTGGTGGCAAGCGTCGTTCGATGCGACTCAGTGGCCTACGGGTGGCTGGCATCCCAAAGGTCCCGGGTTCCAACAGCAGTGCTTTCATCTCCGCTTGATAAATGTACACAAGCACGCAATCAGTCATGGAGTGCTATGTTGCTGATGCACATCTACCGTTCAAATGTCAGTGATAATTCCTTCAAACTCTCTAAGATGCGAACACAAATCTGCATCGAGCACTGCTGTGTGCACGACCGAACCAATAAATAGTGAAAAAAAAAGATGCGCGTAGACCCAATGAAAAATACGTGACGTTTGATAAAAATCACAGGAGCTGATCGAAAGGGAACATAAAGCGAAATAGACAGGGAGAGCAGAATTCCTTGGCCGGAAGGAGAGTAGATCACAGTATTGGCAAATGACGGAGAACTGTAGTGTACAAATTAGTCTATAGAAGAAACAGGGGTAGAAGAGAGGGAGGTGTGAATGTGGGTGCGTGCGCGCGCGCACACATACAGATGGCACTGGTGGGAAACACCGGATGCAGATAGAGGGGGTGGGGGGAATCAAACACGGTCAAGATTCGAAGACTGACTGCAGTGCACAATGGCACGTACTCGATCCACTCGAACTTCGCCCGCGGTGGAACCATCAGCTGTAGGTCGAGTGGCAGACGAATGTGGAGCACTGTGGTGGGAGCTGACTGTCGTGGACTGGGAGCTGCGCGAAGAAATGTGGCTTGAGCAACAGGGAAGTGAACCACTGGGAGATGGAACACTACCTGCTTTAGAATGTGGCAATCCAATGTGAACGGAGTCTGTTAAAGTAGGGTGGACAAGGAAGAGTGGAAACTTTAAAAGGTGATGTGGTGGTTGAGGGTAAAACTGAGAGTCCAGTTTGGTGAACAAGGCAACAAATCATTGTGAAGCGATAATGCAGAAAATTGACAAATCGGGTAATGACAAAACCGAAGAACTTCAAAAGCAGATGAAAAAAAACCGTAGAACAGATAAATGGTAGAATGTTCCTAAACTATCGACACCCAGACGGTAGAGTACAAAGTAATAAACAGCAGTGCGAGCTAAAGTCGATGTTTTAGGGAAGAACAAGGGCTTGTACCTTAGTGAATGACAAGCCAAGCATTGTCAAAGCCGACATGATGAGAAAAAAAGGAGGCAACTGCTACTGTGCAACTTCAGGATGGTGAAACAACTTAGGATTCACTATAACTTCGCCATAGGGTCTGTGAGTATTCAGAAAATATGCGACATGAAGTCACAAGTATCGGAACCCCAGATAAAAATAAAGCTGGAGTCTGTTTGGAAATCTATCATCCGCAAAGAACTCAGGCGATGAATCTAAGGTATATCTTCCTAAAGCAAGGCGCTTGGTAAGGGTAATTATGGCTGAGTAACTTAAGTTAATCACATACCATGGACATCTGACAGGTGCTGACGGCATCAGAACAACCGTGAAGTCGTTAAAGAGTACGAAAACACTGGCACTTCGAACAAGAAATGAGGAAAAAGAAGGCGAGCCCACAAAGTTGGTAGGTGATCACACGCGCATCTTGCGCGTCCAACTTACGACAGACGTCGGTGATGCACCCGAGAAATTCAGCTAACTCGTAGACAGATGCTATGCGGGAAGCCGTAGTCCCAGGAGGCAATCCGTCCTCTGCTAAGTTTATAATTAGCATGACAGTGTAAGACGAGCAGTGTTATATCGCAGCTAATCTCTAAGTCGTGATGGTCCGCTTAATAGTGTAAGCCGCTGGGGTCCGGAACTCGGTTTCGATTTCTGGTGTAGCCGAGGGATGCACACTATGAAGAAGTTCCAACAGCATGAAACGGCCGTCAAATGCTTTTCGGGATACGTGTAAGGCTGTTTGACATGGAGGCCGCTGCGAAGAAATAAATAAGGTAACAGTGTTGCCACTAACTGTGCAGTAAACCTGCTTTCATGAGTTACAAATAGTAGTAGTCACGTACATTGGTACATGTGAAGGGGCCTCACGGTCATCATGTGCGTAAAAGTTGAGCAATTAAGCAGAGGTGAGAGGAGTTGTAAGAGAGCCCACAACATGAAGGTAAAACGGATTTCTGATCTCGAAAAGGTTAATTAGACCCAGTTAATGTATAAATGTTAATTGTATCCAGATAACGCGGCTAAGATATTTAAGAAATCCCACTAGAATCGAGTCATCTGAAATGCAAAACTGTCCCAGTATCGAAAAGCGTAGCACCAGTCGTGGTAGCACGAGAGAGAGTGACAGAAAAGTACTAAGGATCTGATCAGCAAGCATTCCACTCCGAATTATCGGAGGAGTTAATAGCAACTTTACTTAGAACCGCTGTGACCATGAAGATTGGCCTGATGCTCCGATACAATAGTGTGATACACCAAAAGATTTATTTCGATTTGTTCACACTAAAATTGGAACACGATCCTACCGAGGAACTTGGTATATGGTTGTCCCAGAACAAAGTATAAGTTCGTGCTCCGATATTTTCCTGACTAAATATTCTTATACATGGAATAGGTGGCCAATCGCAATCAGATCGTGTGAGAACACGGCAGCGTTTTGGACCAAAGCTAAAAGTTGCCATTACCTGTGCAAGAATATGATCAGGTTCTCACCAGGAAAATCGGCCAATACATTGTTCCAAGAAGGACGAACAACTAACCGGAGAGGAGGCAGCAAATTTTCACACAAGACAAGCTCCATACCGAGTACTATGCGTACAAAATATTAAAAATATATACGTCATGCTATGGGCTTCCAGCAACAGTCCACCTTCTGACTGACGGGATGTAATTGTAAGTTAAGGTGAATGTAACCACCAAGCCAATGTGCAAATTCTAATCGAAACTAAGTAAGACATCTGAATGTTCGCAGTCACAAAGGCTGATAAATTTTGAAAGAGGTGCAACTAAGGATGTAACATACAAATGCAAGCAGACTATCCTACGGGGGACAAGGGTGGAGAATTCCAAGCGGTGGGCATTCGACCAACCCCACTAAATAAATAAACAAATAAAGGATATATTCTTCGACGGTGCGAGGCACAGCGCAACTGATTGGTCATTATTTACAACGGGATCGCATGGGACGAACAATATGTCTTAGAGTTTTTTTTCCAGAGCAGTTCCCAAACTGTTTCGCAGGGCTGACTGATCCGTTGCATATTTCAAATAGACGGATTGGTTGACAATAATAAATACAGATAAACCTAAATGTTCTAGTAAATAATTACGGTCAAACGTGGATTCGTCTCCAGGGGACCTGCTTCCATGCAGGCTAGTTCCTCGAAAGGTTTCATCCGCAGTTCCATGTCCGTCCTGATCGTGTGCTGGTGTGGCTTTAAAGCAGGTTTGCCATCACCAATTGCATTTATCTAAGGCATTTTTAAGTGTAGATATATGGATATTTAGGGCATATAAAATAATAATAAATGGCCAGCTGCACGCCGTAACGGCGCTTTGTTGCCGCGCGACCACCACCAGTCGCCCGTGGACTGAGTATACCGCGAGGACGCCCGCCCCTACGCGGGTTCGAACCGGTGACCTTATGATTGCAAACCAGGCGCGTATACCAATCGGCCACCGGCCGACAAGGGCACATAGCCCGTATCATCAAGCGGTTTGTTGAGTCAAACACTTTTATTACTAGTCAGAGAGTCCAAGACATCTTGCCTCGCATGGGTTCAATCCGTCAGCTCAGATCGACCTAGTTGTGGCCAACAATGTTGTAATGAAAAATACAGAATACGAAAAGGTAGAGGTAATGATGATAAAGAAGTTGTTATATTTATATACCGTCAAGAAAGGCCGACGGATTTCTCGATCAAATTGTGCGGTTGGATCGCCGTAATAGGGAGCTGCTAGGATTATCGATATGCGAGGCAGTTCTGAAAGGAATCTTCAGCTTTGTCCGACAATTTCCTGTGTTCGCAAAATACAGTATTTGGTATCGCGGAGCACTGAGAATTGTTACCTACTGCTGGAATGTTGCTCTCAGGAAGAAATACCTAATATTGCAAGACGAATGTAAAGAAGAAATAGAAAACAGCGTATATCTTGACGGTGCAAGATACAGATTGAGATTGATCTAACAGATGGTTGAGAACAGTTTCTGTTCAAGTTGTCACAAGGAAAGAGGTTCCGGATCGATGCATTACTGGCATCCGAAGTGTGTATGAATTGACTGACGGATGTCATGAAGCACTCTGTAGTTTTGTGCTGATACTTCCTGAGAGGAAAGGGAATTGGTTGAAAATATGGAGGTCAGTTCGTTCATACATAAAGAGATGCTCAGATGGTCGCAGGCCAAAAACATTCGTTAAAATGTGTGCTATATCTATATGTTTTGTTTTTCAGGGTTAAACCGTTTTCGTACGCCATCTCCTCCGTGAAATTTTGTCTCAGCAGCACGGTGGCGTTTTCAACAGGTAACAAGGTGCAGATCTCCTTACGAAATATTTCAGGTGATTTATATTCTTGCAGCTTGGACGGCAGCCTGTTCCAAATGGTTGCGTAACATCGGCAGCGAGTGCTGGCAAAACGGGACTGCGACGGCCCTACCGAGAGTCGTTGAGGCATGAAGCCATCGGCCCGGGCGAGCGAAACGCGTAGTAGATCTCTAACTACGTAGGCAGAATGCAAAAGCATTCACTTGCAAAAATTTGTTAAAGAAGGGTCAGTGCTCCAAAACCCGAACATCAATTTCTAACCGTTGTGTCAAGCGCTGTTAGCGGAGTGCACTGGCCTAGTGATCATGCTGATAACCGCCAAGCACTATGCGCGAAGTTCTACTACCACCTCCGTTGAAATTTTCGCTGATTGTACGGATAACCCACTCCTAGTGCGCAAGCTGACCGGCAGACGGTAAAGATTGGTAGGCAAAGGCCTCGGATGAAAACTGTATTGAACACACGGAAAGCAGTATAAACAATCAAATAATGGGGTTGAATCAATAAAGTCATCAGCAGTAGGCCGGCACACTGTACCGACGCTTCGCTGCCACGCGACCACCACCAATCGCGCATGAGCTAAGTATACCGCGAGGAGACCTGCCTCTACGCGTGCAATCCTTTTGGCCACCGGCCGACGATCGAATCAATAGTTTATGAGGGAATGACATGGCACTCACTAGCATCCTCATTGGTAGCGTTTAAGACGAAACGTCATCATTAGCCTGCTCTTACTGGTTGGCCAATAAGTTTCGGGATGTGTCAGGGTCAACTTTTCCGGCTACGAGCAAAGGGGTGCCGGCTCCCATAACAACCACAGGCTGTCTACTTGATGTGTTCAAACAAGGACGAAACGTGTCGTGGGGTGGAGTGACGGGGGAGAGCAACACCAAGCAGCCCCCACTTCGAATATGGTCCCAGTTATGGGAATTGCAGAGACTGACTTCCAAGTCAATCGGGAGCACAATTGCGATTGTGTGCTGCAATCAAAGATATACGGTGGGTGCTCAAAAACCAGACAGGCAACAACTATTTTAGTTATGGAAAATGGTTGGGTAAAAAATGAATTAGAGCTAGTGACCTCCGTCTCCGAACTTGACGGTCAATGTGACGGTGAACGCACACAGAAAGCTCGACTATACATATTGATCGTGGGCAGGTTGCGCAGTAACACGCGTGACTATGTTACACAACTAATTGTCTGCGTTGACAGGAATTATATCGAAATTGAGGAAGATAAATGTTCCGAAGCAGGGAAACACACACACACTACTCACAGACAGCAGGAAGGTGTGACAACCGCCATGGTCGCCCTGGACTGTGGATTCGACGCATGCCGAAATAA